GGGTAAGGAGAGGGTGGGGGCAGGGGAGAAATGCCCAAGCCTTGTATGCACATTGAAATAATAATAAACAAAACAAAAAGAGTCCAGAAGTGTGAAAGGACATTTAAATCAGTCCTTACTGAAAGTACATGAGGCGAGAACAGTATGAAGTCTCAAATGAACTTTGAATAAGGAAGAATTTATTGCTGGAATTTCCTTTATGTTGCAATTTCAATATTTTTTACAACTATTTTTAACAACTATGCTTTCTAAGAGCACTCGGTGAAGTTGATATCTAAGAGTCTTACAATTCCTACGGAAAGTTAACCAAAATTTGAATTTTTATTCAAAATTCTTGAAAGAGTATCGGTTTAGTATTTTTTAGTTAAAACAAATATATTCTTCATCGCATCAAAGAGTTAAACAAATGAAACACGAACGGAATATCTTCAAGGACAAATATGTTTTAAAGGTTATAGGTATTTAGAAATAGATTTTGATTGGCAAACTCTTCGATTTTAGTGAGAGTTTTATTGCAACTTTCTGAAGATCAACCAGAATTCAATATTTCCACTTTGCTACAAAGAGTCTAAATGTATGAGTATTTATAAGTACTCATACATTTTCTGAATCAGAAAATTACTTCTTTGACTTTTAGTTCTAAGAGATAAATTAAGCCCTCCTTTCTGTAAATCTGTGGGCATTTGAGATTCACTGAAAGGTGGCTAGTTAAGCCTGCTGAATTGTTATCATGTGAGTTGGAAGTACCTGTATCTTCTTAAAGGAAAAAGAGACCTGGCATTGTTTGGATTGATGTCATTTTCTTAAGATTGAAAAAGAGCCAAGATTCAGAAATGTCATACTGAGAAGTAGTGTACTACATGACAAAGCATTTAGCCAGTAAGTATTGACAATTTAACACTTCCATCTATTTTAGAATCCTTTTTACATGCAGAAACTTTTGGCTGCTCGTTTATTTTAATAGTGAAAAAATACATTTGACTTTAAGTCTAAATTATTATCTTCAACTAGTTTCATTTTTCTCAAATTCTCATAGTGTCTTATCAGAGGACTAGTATGTCTTCCCATATAGGTAGCCAGCAACATTTTTTAAAAAAGAAGATAGTTTATTGAAGGTAATTTATTTATAAAAAATCTACTATTATAAGTATTACAGTTCTATAATTTTATATGGAAGAGAAGAACAAATGAAAAATCATAGAACTAAAGAATTTAAAAACCAAAATGACACAGAAACAAAAACAAACAAAAAGCCCCAAGTCACTGACTAGGTCTGATAGCAAAATGGGAATGACTAAGGAAAGAGTAAGTGAACTTAAATACTGATTAATAGAAAATGTTTAATTTGAGTCACAGAGAAAAAAGATTGAAAAAAATGAATAGAGCTTTAAGGATCTGTGGTTCAATAACAAAAGTCTTAATATTTGTGTCACTGTATTCCCAGAAGAAAAGGACAATGAGTATGTTACAGAAGAAAATATCTGAAAGATAATGGCTGAAAATTTCTCAAATTTGGTAAAAGACATAAACTCACAGATTCAGGAAGGTTAACAAACCCCAACAGAATAAAGTCAAAGAAACCCATGCCTAGATCCATCATAATCAAACTGCCAAAAACTAAAGATAAAGCTCTTAATAGCAACCAGAGAAAAACAAAGATTAAAATTACTTTCTCCTGCAATATTTGATAGAATTTACTAGTGAAGCCATCCAGGCCATGTTTACTTGAAAGTAGAATATAATCACTTAAAGATGTATATTGTAAACTATATGTGCCTATAAAAACATCTTTAATGATAGTACAAATAATCAACAGTGGAGATAAAATTGAATAAAAAATGCCTTTCCAAATAGACAGAACAAAGGAAAAAAAGAAATAAAGAACATAGGGAACAAACAGAAAATCTAGTAAGATGTAGATTTCAATGTGTAATATTAATTATATTAAATAATATACGGTATAAATGAACCACTTTAGAAGACAGACTACCAGACAAGAAGATTCACTATACTTCCTAATAAGAAACCACTTAAAAAAAAAACAGGCATTGATAATGACATGTAAAAGTTAAAGACAGAATACACCAAGCAAATTTATAGTCAAGAAAAGCTGAATGGCTATATTAATATCAGATAAGTAGATTTATTACCAAGTAGAAAGGACATAAATAATAAGGGATCAATTCTAAACATAGAACTCTAAATATATGAATGTAAACCATAACAATGAAGGAAGAAGACAAAATCCATAATTGAAATGAGATATTCTAATATTCCTTTCTCAATAATCAATAGCAAAAACAGCAAATTTTACAAAGACATACATAGAATTATACATTAGTATTTAGAAAGCTTGACTTTATAGGACATTCTGCCCAACACTTGGAGAATAAAAATTATTTTCAAGTGCACACAGAACGTTTGCCAAGATAGATCATATTCTGGGTCCCCATTATCCCCCAAAAAACCCTCAACAAAATTTAAAAGAATTGAAATCATATGAAGCATGCTGTCCAACTACAACAGAATTAAGATAGAAATCAATAGCAGAAAGACTGTATCTTTCCAAATAGTTGGAAACTAAGCAACCCGCATATATATAACCCATTGTTAAAGAGAAGTCACAAGAGAAATTAAGAAGCATTCTGAATTGAATGCAAATGAAAGGACAACGTATAAAAATTCATTGGGTAGAGGTAAAGTGATACTTTCAGGGAAAACTATAACATTAATGCATATGCCAGAAAAGAAGAAAGGTTCCAAGTCACTGATCCAACTTCTACCTTAAACAAAAGCAAAGACAAGAGCAAAATAAACCCAAAGCAAGCATAGAAAGGAATAAAAATAAGAGCATAAGTGAATAAAACTGAAGTAGAAAAGCAAGAGAAAAACCAACAGAATTTAAAACTGGTTCTTTCAAAGATGAATACAATTTATAAACTTCTAGCCACAATAATCAAGGTAAGGAGAGAGGTAATACAAATATTCATTTTAATAATAAGAGAAGTGAAATCACTATTGATCCTACAAATATTAAAAAATAAGAAAAATTAGGGCACATTAAGTATAACTATCCTATAAATATAATCAAGAAGAAATGGACAACTTGACTAATCCTATAGCTATTAAAGAAATTAAATTTAAATAAAAAACCTTAAAGGTGGAGGTGGTGAGTTATGTGTGATACATACATATATTGTAAGAACCTTCGAAAATGCCACAATGTACTCCACCCAGCACAACAATAAAGGAAATAAAATAAAATTAAACTAAAAAAACCTTCTAATAGGAGTTTTCATGAAAGCCTTTTAAAAGCTGATTTCTAAAAAACCCAAGTATAAATAAATGAAAAAGAAAAAGATATTGATGCTACCTTAGACTTTACCTGTGTGAGAATTTTAAGTCAATGAAATAAATTTGTTACAATCATAAGCCTTTGAAATAACTGTGCCCCTCTAAACAATTAAAGTATATAAGGAAGCTAGGAAAAAAACCACCAGAACTTTAGTTTCTAACAATGAACTAAGTGTCTTCAACCTAACAAAGAAAAGTTATGCTCCAGTTTATGTCACAATAGTAAAAAAGAGTTCAATTTACTACAGGTTTAAGGAAAAAACACTTGTGCTCAATATAAATTATTCTGCCACATTCCTGTTTTATAATCTTAATTGGGAACAGAATGCTGTTTTTTGATGGCTACAAAGGAAAGAGTAGAAGTTCAGAATTACTACTGGGTGATATGAAGTGTCCTTTTATAAATAGGGATATTACTGGTACTTTACAGAGAAGAGATACAACACACATCATCACTATCGTCATCATCTCTATTTCTGTAGCTATAATAATTTAATATTGAAACAACTCCATGAGGTAGGAATTCTTCATTTTAAGATAAAGAAACTGAGTTATCTTGATTTAAAGATAAAGAAGTCAGGCATAGAAATACACACCTATAATCCCAGCTATTTGGGACTGGCTTCAGTGTGAGACCCTCTCTGAAAAATAACCTAAAGCAAAAAGGGCTAGAAGCATGGCTCTACTGGGGCTCAAGTGGTAGAATGCTTGCCTAGCAAGCATGAGGCCAAATAATAACCCAGGTTATATAGCTTAATAAAAATGGAATTTGAAACTGAGTTAAATTTCCACCCACCCAGCCATCCGTCTGCTGTGGATTCAAGTATGGAGAAGACAAATACTATAGTATTCCGATTTCCCATTAACCCCTTCTGTGGCTTCAAAAGGCTAACATTCTTCTCATATCTATTCTTAATACTGGAACTTGGTTGCTCAGAGAAGATAGGGACAAAACACTGACCAATAATTTAGAAACTTCTGCTGCTTTAGACACTGTTTCAAAAGAGAGAAAAGAAGCAATAATTGTTGAAGTCCAGAGAGCCTCAACATGCTCACCTAACATATACTGACCATCGCTGGACAGAATCCATGCTTGGGAAGGAGAAATCACAGGACAGCTGTCAGTATGGAATCCATCTGGTTTGCTTTAACAACAAACTTTAACACATATAGCTTTCATAGGCTGTCCTCTTAGGTTCAGCATTCTCACATTTTTTAGGTTGTATTTGTTTCCACAAATGTTTGCCTCTGTTTTGGTTAACACTTCTAATTATGAATAGAAATTAGTCAATTTGGTGATTTTTGTACCAGATATAAAAATCCTGGTGAATAAAACTTCTGTTAAGATTTTTATTTGGGGAATTTTTTTTCAGTGTTGAGGATTGAACCCAGGCCCTCACACATGCTAGTCAAGTGTTGTTTCACTGAGTTACATCACAAGCCCTCTTCCAAGAATGTTTTGCAAATGTAGTTATAATTTATTACTTGAAAATTATTGTCTTGAGAAAAATTTCTAATTTAATTTCCCTGAAGAATTAGTGTGTCTTTACAAGTGCTTTGCCAGAATGAAAACAGAGCTTTCTTATTTAAAGTTTCCCCATGGTAACATACTTGTGAAGATGCAATTAGCACAGGAAAATACTCACGGTTGAGCCCCAATTTCTCGTAGATGATAAAAGAGTTGGGGGAGATAAGTTTGAAGAAGGGTTTCAAACAGCAAACAGAGTGATACAATGCCCTGGACACAATAATGAAGCATAAGAGAAACAGTTTAGCATTTAAATTATTCAAATAGAAAATAAGAAAGACCATGAACATAAATATTCTTTTTGATTCATATAGGGAATGTACTAATGGATCTCAAACACTCTATTTAAAAATAAATTTTATTTCTCTTGATTAATACTCACACTCACAGACATGCTAAGGAGTCTCTTTTTAAACACAAGCTCCCCATCATCTAGGCCCATATGGAATAGTTGTAGAGTCCAAGGCAAATAGCACTTTACAGAAAACCTGCTACTTTGCAAGCCATGTATTATCATTTAGGACCAGCAAAATTAGTGTTCTTCTGGATGCATTACAATTTGCAGGTATTCCTCAGGGCTGTAGCCACCTCTTCTCTCTCTCTCCCCTCACCCTGCCCCATTTTTTCCCCCTTACTTCCAGTCTCACCCTTTGGGGGAATATAATTTCTACTTTTCTTCACTCTTTCTTTTAAATCTACCCCAGGAAAAAAACCTGACTTCTGAGTGCTTGAAATTTGTATCAGGAAGTTATCAAACAAGAATGTGTGATTAGATTATTCAGTATAAAGTTTTTGTTTGTTGGTTTCTATCTACACTTTTTAAAGAAGGGCATTATTTGTAAAGTACAAGAAATAACTAAGCAGATATTTATTTTGAGCATGTTTATTATTTGACAACTCTGAATAAAGTCCTTGCAGCTCAGCATTCCTCAGGACTGATCTTGGTAAGGAAGTTTTAATCCTTTTTTGAGTTTTTAAAGAACTGAGGCTGTCATAGCTCTAAATGTTCACTCTGGCTGCAAGCCAGAAAAGGAGAGGACCTCCTGTCTTTATTCCACTGAGTAAAGAAAGGGGAGAGGTAGGGCTGGAACAATCAGGACCAGTCAGAAGACAGAGACGGGAGATCCAGAGGTGGATGTGTGTTGTACAGTGTTTTTCTTTAAACTCTGAAGGTACACAATATAAGAGTAAAAGTTTGATGCTTACAATGAGATATTAGAAAAGAGTATTATTAATATTTTGATTATTCTAGATTAACATTAGTGTAAGATAATGACTAAATCAACTTGTTAACAGGAAGAAGCCCAAGGTAACTGGTGGTGCTTCCTTTGCTTATCTGTGACATTCTAGAATTCTGTTATCTGCCAGCTTTCACTAGCAATGCAGGAAAGCAAAACTGGAGACAATGATAGTGGAATAAAAATACATAGTATTAAACTTGGGGGATAAAAAACAGCTAGCTAATTTAGTAGCAGTAACAGTCTCCTCTCTGGAGAAATTTGGTAGCTCTGACATATATACCAAGTTAATGTTTCCTATGGGGAGGCAGCCGAGTTACCCACAAGCAGAACAAAGCATGTCCAAGAAGGGACAAGCAAAAATGAATAAACATTTCTTTACTTGGGTTTATGTGGGGCTGGGAATATGATGTAGGAGCAGAAAATAAAACAGTAAAAGTGTTCAACTACCAATATGCTTTTCCTTGACTCTCTCGTATTGAGGTCCAAGGACCTTTGCATTGAATAAGAAAATATCTAGTATAATAACTGATAATTAACCAAATATGAAGTTGAAAAACAAGAGACAAATAAATATTTGATTTTCACTGAAAAAGGTGATGGTAATTACAACAATAACGCGGCATTTATTTATTGAGCTCCTGCTATGAGCCAAGGCATTACCCTGGGCGCATTGCAGACATCTCTACAGCACCACAGATGAAGTATCACCAACCTCATTTCATAGGGGAGGAAATCAGTAACGAATCAAAGACAACAATGCAGACATTCTACATGAAGATTTAAGTTTAGCCAATAAGAGGTGTTTTTTTCTCTAGATACTATGAAAAAAAATATTTAAATAGCATCTTCTTCCCTTTCATTTATCCTATAGGAACATGTTGTTTGGCATCACAAATTAAAATTTATGCTTTCATAATTTGAGGAGACTTTTTCTTAAAGGAAAGAACAGATTAGAGTCTGAGTTGATCTAATTTTCCATGAACTTACAGAAGGATGAGAAGAGATGGAATGGAGTCTGAAGAAGAAACGCACATACATCTCACGGAATATCTGATACAATTTGTAAGGTTCATGGTATAGAAAACAAAGTGGTGCAACTGAAAGAAAAAAATTAATTGATAATATTGAGAACTACTAAAAATTTAAAAATAAGTTCATGACATACGAACAAATAGATCAGTATTTTATAGTAATCATATTTATTGATAGATAAGTTTAAAATAGTACATACATTGCTTGTTAATTTTGAAAAGGGAATATACCTACATGTGAAAGTTCAGGTATTAAATATCATAAAGAAAGGAGTAAGTTATAAACTATTATAACCCCAAATTAACAGTAGACTAAGAATGATGCAATGGAATTACAGAGGGATACTAAAAATTCCAAGTAACTTTAAAGAACTACATGAAGTCAAGTCTCTCCTTTATAAGACTGAAGTAATAAGAAAGTGACAATCAGGCAAATCTTTTTTTTTTTTTCTCTTTGAGATGGGGTCTTGCTCTCTAGCCCAGGCTTCTCCCGCCTCAGTCTCCCAAATACAGGTAACTCATTTTTCCTTTGTCTCACAAAAGATTCAAGCCACTTTTCAAAGTTTTAAATTTTGGAAGCAAAGAATGTAAAATATGAGATGATACCTTTTTAGAACCAAGGTCTTCAATTAATTCAATTTGAAAATAAAAAATTTCAGTAACACCATTACATTACTGGCATATATTGATATATCTCTACGTATCATTTTGAGTTTTCTCCGACTTAAAATGAATCCTCAGGCAGAGGATTTCTCTACTGAGTATTGAATTACATTATCTTTTGCACCCAGCTGCTGGCAATTAAACACAGGTAGGTCAACTCAATCAGACTACCCACAGCTGGATGTCACAGAAAGTTCTGATCTCAGACCCTGACCTGACCAGGGGACTATTCTGTGCTGACAAACATGGTCATACTTGCCATCTTTCCAAAGCTCATAAATTTTAGGCAGTATAAATGTGTTTATAATGCAGATACACAAAACTGCATTACCTATATATTAATTTTAACAAAAATGCCTTGCTTATAAGGGTCTTCAAATGATACAAAGTGGACACCTAAGAAATTCTGGGGCTCTGCAATCTCTGGTACATCCCTCAGGCCAGTGGGCATTAGTAAGAAGGGAAACCAGTGGGTTCACTTAGCTTTCTTCTTTTTGACAAAATGAAATGGAAAATAGTAAAATATTTTCAATGCTTACAAAAATTCAATTGTCTGGGATAAAAGGCAGTGACATAGTATTGCTGATGAGTCAGTCATTCAAAACTAGCATTGCAAATGAGAAATTTGACTTTTACTGAAGAGCAAAAGAGAAACAAATTACTTTTAGGGGAGCTAGTGTCTAAATAAATATAAAATTACTTATATATGGAGAAAAATGTATAACATAGATATTTTATATATGTAGATATAAAGTTCAAATAGACAGCATGTCCTTCCCCTTCAAAAATGATTGTTAAAACTTAGCATTAAATGGCTACTTATTAAAGTAGCCCAAATTAGGGTAGTCCACATATTTTAATATAACAATTCATGTTTTAACTGCAGTAACAAACTAAGAAAAGGCAATGTGACATGAATACATGGTATTAATATAAATTCAAAATACAAATTTGGAATTTATTTATACTTTCAAAATGATATTCTTTCCCTCTAATGTTTAAAGTTACTGATACATAAAAAACTGTAATCTGAATCTGCAGATTTTATGAGTTCTGTAATTACTTATGATAATTTCTGTTAAAGGAATAAAGAAAGAATTTAAAAATTAACACAATTCTACAGGTATATGTAATACCAAAAAAACTAAAATTATTATTCTAGATACTGCAATTTTATGTTGCATATTCTTACATTATATATTCCACTGTGTAATATTTAAAAATCTACATGACTTAATTTTCTCCTAGCATATTTCCCTTTTGGTCCTCTCGTAAAAATAAATTTGGCTCATTAACTTTTTAACTAATTACACTATGTATTATAGGAACTTATTTATGGACTCATAATATGCTATGACAAAACTTTATTAATCTGTATAAATGGAACATAAGAAGGCAGTTTGAAATAGACAAAACGGATTTTAAAAAGAAATAAGGATTACAATTGAAAAGCACTCAGAAACTCAAGTAGTGAACTACTTACTAACTAGAGTACCTTAAGGAAGATTTGTGAATATTCTAGTGCACTGCTTCTAAGTAAGTAGCTGCTACTAAAGTATTTGTGGGTGCTCTAAATAGTTTTCTAAAATAATATACATGAAGTCTACATCAAATATTTTGCACCCTCTGCTTCTTTAGCCAACATCTCCCTCTTAGTTGCAGAAACCTTCGCCTACTGAAATGTCCACGAGCACGAACAGGTGGAGCCTCACTCAGCAATGCATTCTCAGTGCTAAAAACTGCCAGACGATTATGAAATCAAGTATCCTTCAAGTCACTAAAAACTATTTGAAAAATTCATGCAGCTAGAATTATTACAATAAAAAGGCTAACATTTTATTGTTAGGGGTAAACATTTATATTCCTAAACTCTTTAGGGTTTATGTTTTAGATACTACAGACATTTACAAAAGAGAAGTATGCTAGAGGGTCAGTATAATATTGTATGTCATGTTGTGAAATTTTGATGGCTAAAGAGAATAGAGTATGCTGTAGTTCAAGTCTGTGACCAGCACCATCAAGATAGCATAAGGTAAAGCCCCTAGGTACCTTGTATTTATTTTCACTGTATGCTAGTTTTAAAGGTTTTATGTTATGTCATTCACCATGTCTGTATGATCTTGAATATGGAGGTGATTTTACAAAGAAAAGTATTAACTTATTGCTGATTCTTGTTACAAAGGTAAAACATTAAAGCACTTCTGTATATTCTAAAGGTAAGGGATAGAAGTAAAGGAGACAACAATAATAAGTTTAGATATAACACAAAAATTAAAAAATTAAGTGATATTATGGCATAGAGCATCCCTCCTCTTGCTAATCTTTGTTAAGCTTCTTGCATTTCTCATTCAATGACATGTGAGGCCCCAAGGCACTCAAAGCTCCCCAGCCTGCCCCTGTGATTGCCTGACGATGCTCCAGTGCTCCAATATAACTGTCATGTGCATACCAGTTGTCTGGAGAAATCACGAGATTAAACTCAGTGCTGTCTCTCTCTTCAGATTCATTCTGACATATTATTATTATTATTTTTAAAAGACTCATATGAGAATCAGTTCAAAGCCGGGCACTGGTGGCTCACACCTATAATCCTAGCTACTTGGGAGGCTGAGATTGGGAGGATCCTGGTTTGAGGCTAGTCCCAGCAACAAACAGTTAAAGAGATCCCTTGTGCAAAACAAAACTTTTTGTTCTGTTAAAAAGTCACTTTTAACAGAACAAAAGGGACTGGAGGCATGGCTCAAGCAGTAGAGTACCTGCTTTGCAAGTGTGAATCTGAATTCAAGATTCCAGTACTAACCCCCCACCCCCACCCAAAAAAAAAATGAGAATCAGTTCAGGATTTAAGTAACCTGATTTTACACCTATTAGAGTTAAATGTTAATGTGCGTCTTGATTCCACTGGATTAGAAGATGATAAAACTCAGAACAACTTTCACAATACGTTCTAACTCTAATTTAGTGAGAAATCATCACCTAAACAATTGTGATTACTCTCTATTTTTAATCTTTAAAATCTCTAATTTATAATCTTTATGTTTAAATATCCAAAGTGTAATAAAAACAATGAATATTTTAAAACCCAACTTACCATACATGGAAAATCCATGAAAAGGTATTACACCTAAAAAATAAAAAAGTATTTCTTTTTAATAAGTAAATATATATATACATACACAGATATATGCCTCTGCTTATTAAGTAAACTTTAAGGGATTAAAACTGTAAATAGAAAGGTTTCTATTTTTTGCTTCAATTTTGTTCATGAATATCAGAAAGACTTATTATGGTAACCAATAAAATGTTTCTTAACACTCTTAGAAAAGCAAACTAGATGTTTTCAAAAATATACACAGTTAATTTTCTGTTAATAATGTAAGCAATTACAACTAAATATATACTTACAAAAAACAGGATAAAAATATGGCAAGGCAGATCGCAGAACTAAGTTTGAGAACTAATTAATGGTTTTAAAGTCAACAGCATTCTTTCTAAAACAACTTCGTTCCACTTAGTAGAATGCAATCTGTTAAAGGATTAGTGAATTTTACAAGGTACTTCTTGTAAACATTACTTTATAGAAAACACAGGTGTTTAGTGAACTTACTAAAAAATTATATCATGAGAGCAGTTAGGAAGAAATATTGTCAGGAATATGTTACACAAATTCAGTATAACCTTTGGCAAATATTATACATAAGTAACATACATATCCTTTTCAAATAAATCTCAAAACCTAACCATAGTGTGCTAAACATCTTGTTATACTCTTAAGTGGAAAATCACAACCAAATAAAAACAATTTCCATTGTACTATGTGTACCTATTTAAGTGTACTAAATCAATTGGAAAACAGTACAGAAGAAAGCTGAGAGGTTTACTTCTTTGAAAAACAGTGTAGAAATGTTTTATTCACCTGACATGTTCAGAGGCAAAAAACCTGGTGTTGGCAGGTCACCTAGAGTAACTTCTAGGAAATGATAGTTGAGGCTCAGTTTAAAACATGCCCAGAAATAGAGGTACATTAATTTCCAATGCAACCAGTACAGTTTTTGAACAGGTTTGATTTGGGGGCAGTTCTTTCTCATTTGGAGTCAAACTCTGGCTCTCTATAATGGTATGTCTTATTCTTAGTTCTCACTATAAAGATCTCAAAGAACAAATCTAATTTATTTTCTATAGTATATGAAAACTTTCAGAAATATTTGCTGTCTCCACAACCCCATCATGATCAAGACTTTTTTTTCTCTAAGACTATGAATTTCTTGAATTGTTCTTCAGATGAAGTGGTCCTAAATAGCTTTCACATTTTATTTTCCTCTGGACAAGCTGCAGACCACCACAGTCCTTAAAAGTGGATGACTAAAACCTCTAAGCATTTTTTTCTTCCCTACACACCCACAGCTAAGACAGTGCATTTGGGCAGTTGTTTTTGGACCTAAGTAAGGATTATATTCTTATCTCTGTTACATTTCTTCTTTGGTAAACCATTCCAGTTACAGATAATTCTTGGTTCTCATTCTGTTAACTAATGTGCTCCTTATTCTTCCTAGTTCCACATTACTGAAAAATTTGACATGGACACTATATCCTCATCTAAGGCAATATAAAAATGCTGATCAAAGCAGGGTGAGGACAGTAATTGTCAGTAGAAATCTCCTTCAATGTTGATATCAGTTCATTAATCATTATCCTTTTGCAGTAAGTGAAAAGCAAAACTGGATGTCAGCCAGACTTCGTTGGCTAATCTGGTTTTGTCACTTAAGAGCTTTGTGTGCCTTTGAGTAAGTTTCTTAACTGTTTCAAGCTTCAGTTCCTTTAACGCTAAATCAGAGATAATGCTAGACTCTACTTAGAATGATTAAGTGAGATAATGGCTTAAACTTGCCGCTAATAAATAAATAGCTTAGGCCTGTAATAAACATAAATTGTTGATATTAACTTTCATAAACTATTCCTTTTCTTGTTATTTCTAGAACTAATCTTATTTAAAATAGTCTGGAGAAAATCCAATTATCATTCTGAAGTAGAATGCCAGGCCTGTCAGCCTCAGAAGCCTTGCAGCATCATCTTGAGCTTTGAACCCCACAGTTATCAGGATCTACCATTCCCATGTCCGCCTAGTCTTAGAGAGTACGCAGATTTATATTGCCCAACTTTGGCTGAATTCTGTGTTGCTGAACAAGTTTCTCGTTCATTTCTATTTGATTAGCCACCCTATTCTTTCAAGAGCTTCCCACTCTTCACATGTTCAACACCTATTCATGGACATTTCTTCCTGGTATTAGGAGGCTGAATCACTGTCATGAAGTTTCTGACTTGTCAGTTTTTTCTCCTTCATTTTTTCCCTCTCACTTTTAGTTTCACAGGGCAACATATCCCAATACTTTTAAAGCACTAACATCATCACTGAATCCTGTTTCCTTGACTTTTACAGCTGTTAGCCAGCTATGGACACTTAGCAACTTGTTGATGTGAAGCCTAGGAACTAAGAATGGCTTTTACATTTTTACGTGATTATTTACAAAACAAGTAATAATATGGGACAGAGACCATTTGTGGCCAGCAAAACTTAAAATTTATATCTGTCTGGTTATAGAAAAAGTTTGCCAAACTCTGCTTTGGAATCTTGCTCCATCAATTATCCCTGCCTTTTAGATGCATCATTTAACAAGTATATATTAAGCTTCTACTATGTGCTGGATGCTATTTTAAGGACTGGAGCTGACTTTTTATTAGGGAAAGAAATCATAATGCAATATACATGTCTGACAGTGACAAGTGCTAGGAAGAAAAATAATGGAGAGAAGAGGGATAATGAGGAGAGCCAGGAGAAGGGCAGAGAAAACCTTACTGATAAAAGAGTCACTGAAGCTGTGCAGGTGAGAATCACTGATAAGGGATGACCCGGAAGCTCTGGGCTTCCTATGATGGCTGTCAGCAGATTAGTTTATTGCACATAGTTTAAAGTGGATATTGGTGGACTATCTATCTCTTTATTCCTACTAATGGAGGCACAATGGCAAGGGATGGATAGGTCCCATCAAAATTTTCCTATCTTTAGCCTCTCCTATTTCATAGCAACTTTTCAACTAAAGATATTACACCATCATCAAAAGCCCATTTTCTTCTCAGATCTTACTTACTTTACCATCAAACAAATGTAAACTCTCTCTCCTTCCTTTGAAGCCCAAGCTTAACATTTTTGAGAACCATACTTTCTCCTATACTTTCTTACATACCCTTAGTGATACAGACTGTTTTCCACCCCTATCTCCCTTACTTTTGATTGCTAAATCCAGGAGCCTCTGCTCTGTGTGCCATAGTTTATGGTCTCACAGCAACTGAAAGCTCCTTTGTGAGCTTGATCCTACCATGGTGCTAATGGCACTTCACAGATCAACTTCCTCGTCTCTCAGAAACTGGATGCTTAGGTTTTCTTGTTTTTGTTTTGTTCTTAGATTATTCTCTCTTCTGCCCACTCCTTAAACATAGTTACCTTCCAAGACTCTGTCATACTTGTTTTCATTCTCCCTCTACTAGTATTCTCATTATTGATCTATAACCCAACTGTAAAAGACAAGTATCCCAAGTTTTCTTTGGATGCTATTTCCATAAACAGCTCAGCACCTCCCTATTATTCAGAGAAGAAATCTTTAAACCAGTTTTGCTCTCTAGTTTTCCTTTGGCTCTGAAATCTAAATGTGATATGCTCCCTTTGGATCCTAGTAGGATCTGGGCACTTAACTCTTCAAATACAATGCCAGCAGCTTCATTCCTCTTCCTTACCCCACAAACACACCAAAACTGATAGCCACTCCTTCAGTCTCTGGGTGCAAGACAGGGCTATCTTTCCTTTATCTCCAGTCCTATCCTTGACTCACCCTTTCAAAAATTTAACCAATACTCCTCCCAGAAAAATCTCCCAATGTCCGCTACTCCTCACCCCCAAGCAATTAATTAATGGGTACTCCTGTACAAGCTATTTGCCCCAATTAATTGAGGTTCCACTCCTCTGTGCATCCAGACAGCACTACACTATGTATTTCTGGCTCCACAACTTTCTGCCTACAGTCATATAGATAAATTACTTAATCTGTTTCCTGTTAGACTAAGAAAGGTGGGCTTTGTCTAAGGGTCCTGCTCTGGCTGGACCCCACACTCATAGCTCACATTTTTCCTTACAGATCACACTTCATGTACCAAAAACTCTGAACTTCTCAGCTCCAAAGACCCTAAGCTAGTTTTCAGGGTTTGCATATTCTTTCTGGTGGCACAACCCTCCTGATAAGTATGTATTCCAGGACATAGTGGTGACCAAAGAGTGGCTATTTGTGGAAGTGTGAAACCTGTACAAGATGAGAAGGGGCTGCCAGGAATATGAGAATTCTGAATTTGAACCTGGCTTTCTACCATGTTTTTATGAAGGTATCTGTGTCAAGGCAAGAAAACAGAGTAGATTTTAATAGTTTATTAGTCTGATTTATAATGTTTAATATTCAGGTTTATCATAGGTGGCCTCCATTTGTACTTATTCCCTGCATTCATCTATGAAGTGGTTACAATACCTATGAGATGGTGAGGATTAAATAATGTATGTAATATAGCATAATAGTTGATACAAAGATAGTACTTTATGTATATTACTTTTCTTCCCTTATCTTATTGTCCTACAATCAGTTTTTACTTTTCTCTCTACCAACAAATAAATTTGGGTACAGAAAGTATTTCTTATTTATCTCTATCCCCAGAGATAATCACAGTGCCCATGGAATGCTTATAGAATGAGTATAAGAAATCCTAGAGAATCTGTTTTCACCATTTTAAACCTTTTATTTCTTTACTTTCTTCTAGGTTTTGTAACTGAGCCCTGATAAACTTATGTATGGTTCTGCAAGAGCCTCCTAATTTTTTGTCTTTCTTCCAAACTCTCAGCTTCTCAACCGACTTTTGAAATAGCTTGAGTTATTTTTTGAAAATATTGAGACCACAAAAAAAGCTCAATACTCATGGTTTTTCACTGATCATTCATCCATCCATCACATACCTGCTTAGCTCCAACTTGTCCAATTAACCAGTATTCTAAGACCTGTTCTGTAGCCTCTGAACGTTAAAATGAATATG